AGGTTAGAATAGGTTGGTACCAACTTTCTTCTCTTTTTTGTCTATTAAAAGAAGGGGGCCCCAAAAACCAAGCAAAAGAGTTGGGTGAGAAAGGGCACCTCGGGGGACCTACTGTGGATGGACAAAATCCATTTCGCACCACCTATGAAACCCCGGAATAAATGATTCCCCTGTAAATACCAACAGGCAATGGCTTCCCCATGGTTTCTTAGGTGGTGTGAAATGGATTTCGCAACCATCCGCAATAGGACACCGATGGTCACGAGTCACATCCTTTGAGCAACTCGAGTTGCGCCTTCAGCTCCTCAGCCTCGTGCTCGTGCACGAAGGCTCCATCCACCTGAAGCGGCGGGTGGGGTGGGTGGGTGGGGTGGGGGTGGGTTGGGGGGTGGGTTGGGTGGGTTGGGGGGGTTGGGGGGGTTGGGTGGGTTAGGGGGGGGTGGGTTTGGGGGGGGGGGGGGTTGAGGCGGGGGAGGTGGGTGGCTAAGGCTTGGATGAAAATGCTTGAAGAGCTCGAAAATGGAAAAAAAACACAACCTAACAAGTATGTTCTCAGCGCGGACCCAAGTCCCATGGGAGAGCGAATGGGACTGTGAAACCCCACTCTTCCTGGATTTTGAAGAGGGGAAGACCTTGAAGGTCTTAAGGTACCTTGATTTTGGGAACCTTTTCAAAACAAAGACCACAAAAGCGGAAAAATGTAGGGGAAGCTTCCCCATTCTTTCCGGGGATCCGAATCTTTCTAGAAAGCCACCAAAAACCGTGAACAAACAAACGGATCTGGTTTTTGAGAAAAGAAGGATGGCTGAAAAGAATGGAACAGGAAAATCTATCCCCTAGAAAAAAGGCGCTCGGTCTCAGGCCCTCACGGTGCTGTGCTCGGTCGCTGCCTCCGCAGCCATTGTCTTCACATCGCCCAGGATCGTCTCGTCAAACTGAAAGGAGCTGTACTTGTACCTCACGACGGGCAGGGGAAATGGTTGTGCCTCAAAGTTAAAGGGCTAGGGAAGCGGCAAGTTTTAGTCTTTGGTTCCATGTACCAAGGTGCGTTTTTTGGTACATTTATTTGACCCACAGCCAAATCATCGCGGTTCACCAGGGCCCTTCCGAGCATCTGCAAAACTTACAGCCCCCAAACCTGACATGACTAGGTCCTCCAGTAGAGAGGTTAGAATAAGGGTACCTTTTTTTTTCTGTAGTAGTAAGGGAACCCTCCCCCAAAAAAGGGTAAAAGGGCACTACTGGGGGACCTAGATAAGATATTTTCTGGAGGGTCTACATGCTGAGCTCGTTTTTTGCTGTGAGACAACGGTTCTTCAAGAACCCTTGTTGTGGGGGAGCCTAGTCTTTTCTTCGAGGAACTTGGAGCACGGCACATCTGACAACAAGCCATCTTGAAAATTGGCACACGCGGACGCTTCATGCCAAGCTGCTTGTAGGTCCTCACATATTTCTGTTCCCCAGCCGGCACTCTGTCAGCAGACCATTTCCGGGGATATCCTGAGCTGCGACTTAAGTGGTTCTTAGGCCTTTTAGGACTCGCGCGACTGCCAAATTTCATGGGTCAGGTCAGTTCGTTCGGGATTTGGGTGTTTTAAGGTGCTAAAAAAGAATAAGGTTTTTTTACTCAAACTTAAGGGTTTGCCAAAACAAAAAAAAAGAAAAGTCCAGATTTTGAAGCAAATCTCAAAGTGTACTATTGATGCCAGTTTCCTCGAATCAAGAATCAATTTGCTTGCTTCCCAGGGGACCGCGCCGTTTCTGCGCGCTAAGCCTTAGGGGTAAGACAGCTTGACGCTCCTGCTGAAAGGGGTTTGGGGTCATCTAAACAGAAATGAGTCTTGGCCGCCAAGAGGAAAGGGCTTGAACTGTTTTCGGGAATAACTTGCCTCTTCTGTCCGCAGCAAAATGCGTTGTGTTGGAGCCCAAATTCTGCTCGTATTTTGGCAGATTGGGCTTGCGTTTGCGGCAATTGCGAGTTTTTACAAAGAAAGCAGCGATCTGCAACAAATCCTGCATGGGCACATTTTTTGGGTTCTGGCCACACACTACATAATACGGAGCAGAACGTGTTTTTCTTGGTAGGCGTTTCTCAGAGGCCCCAGGTTCCTCGTGAACCAACTCCGAACAAACTCCAAGCGAACTCCGAACTCCGAACGAACTCCGAATGAACTCCGAACAAACTCCGAGCAAACTCCGGACAAACTCCGAACGAACTCCGAACGAACTCCGGGCGAGCTCGGAACAAACTCCGAACAAGCGAACAAGCTCCGAGCAAGCTTTGTCATTGGTTGATTTCCGAACAAACCCCCGAGCCAACTCCGAATACACTTTGGCCATAAGCATGTTTTTGAGCCTAAGTATTTTGGCGGTCAAACTGTTTTTGTTGCCTTTTTTCTGGCTTACCAAAAGAGGCCAAGTGATTACAGGGGCCAGCTTCAACAAGTGGCCTGGGAAGGAGTTCAGGGCCGGATTTGTAGGACTTCAGAGCTGCGGAGGGCTAAAATCGCTACCGGGGTGATCACGCAGCTTGGTTGACGCAGAGGCTCGCTGTTGAAGCTGAAACAAAGCTTAATCCTTTTGATCAAGGCTTAATCCGGGAAAAAAATATTATTCCAAAAAAAAGAGCTTAAGTTCAACACCGGTGTTGAACTTAAGGGTTTGCCCGATTTGTGTAATGGCTTGCCCGATTTTGGTCGTATGAAATAGCTGTTTTATTGCATGAAAAGCCTGGATTAAGCATGTGTCAATGTTTTTTTTGCCCTGGTAACACTAAATTTGTACGAAAAACGCACCAACAAGCTGTAATTCCAGTGTTTTTGTACGACCAAAACCCAAAAAGTTCAACACCAAAAAAAAATAAGCTCCAAAAAAAAACTTAAGGCCAAAGTTCGTTTGGAGTTCGTTCGTTCGTCCGGGGCAAGAATTAAGCCCCGAAAACAACAATAAGCAAAAATCACAGCCTGAAAAAAAAAAAAAAAACGAGCAACCTGGAGATTCACTCTCCATGATTTTCCTGGTAGTTCTCGGCTTTGACTTGCTTTTCGTAAATCTCGATGTTTTTTTCGTGAAGCCGCCTAAAACTGCTAAAGCTCCTATATTTTTGTGAGATTTCAGAATTGGTACGGTTTCACGTTTTCCCCGCCCAGAATTACCCGCAAAACGCCCGCAAAAAGCCCGCAAACGCCCGCAAAGCCCCGCAAACGCCCGCAAATCAGAAAAAGACGCTTTTTGGGCTCGGGGGTCGCGCAAAACTCCTAGAAACCACTTAGAACGCCCAACACGTCCAAAACTACCAGGAAACTAAAACGCCTAGGAAAAGGCCGGAGAATGAATCTCCAGGAATAAAACAAAACAAAGCCGAAAAAACTGAAACTTAAGGCCGACACACCAAAATCAGCTCCCCCAAAGAAAAATATGGCCAAAGTTTGTTTGGCGCTTGTCCGGGAAGTAAATCCAGCCCGAAACATACATAACAGGAAAATCAAGTGACCAAAAGAACTAATTTCAACAAGTGGCCTGAGAACATGTTTGTTTGCCTCAAAAAACACCTTCCCAGGCCACTTGTTGAAACTGGCCCCTGTAATCACTTGGCCTCTTTTGGTAAGCCCGAAAAAGCAAAAACAACAGCTTGGCCACCAAAATACCTGGGCTCAAAAACATACTTATGGCCAAAGTGTGTTCGGAGTTGGCTCGGGAACAATGCCAGAGTTCGCTCGGAGCTTGTTCGCTTGTTCGGAGTTTGTTCCGAGTTCGCCCGGAGTTCGTTCGGAGTTTTTTTTCGGAGTTCGTCCGGAGTTTGTCCGGAGTTCGTTCGGAGTTCGCTCGGAGTTCGTTCGGAGTTCGTTCGGAGTTCGTTCGGAGTTCGTTCGGAGTTCGTTCGGAGTTCGTTCGGAGTTCGTTCGGAGCTTGTTCGGAGTTCGTTCGGAGCTTGTTCGGAGTTCGTTCGGAGTTTGTTCGTTCGGAGCTTGTTCGGAGTTGGTTCACGGGGAACCTGGGGCCTCTGAGAAACGCCTACCAAGAAAAACACGTTCTGCTCCGTATTATGTAGCGTGTGGCCAAAACCCTAAAAATGTGCCCATGCAGGATTTGTTGCAGATCACTGCTTTCTTTGTGAAAACTCGCAATTGCCGCAAACGCAAGCCCAATCTGCCAAAATACGAGCAGAATTTGGGCTCCAACACAACGCATTTTGCTCGTACAGAAGAGGCGGTTTCATAGTTAAGTTTTTCCCGGAAAGCAGTTCAAGCCCTTTCCTCTTGGCGGCCAAGACTCATTTCTGCTTAGATGACCCCAAACCCCTTTCAGCATGCGCATCAAGCTGCCTTACCCTTAAGTTTTTTTTGGTGTTGAACCGAATTCCCCACGCAAATTGGCACGCGCGACATGTCCATTCTCAAGCACCAAACACGCGAAACGGACACTGAAAAGAAGCCTTGGTCGTTGGAAGGGGAGCAACCATTTGTAAATAGCAGTTCAGATTTGGATTTCAACCACACCACAAATTCAACATGTAAAGAAAATGTGTCCCGACAGCCATGAAGTTCCAGGCGTCGATGAGATGACTTCGCTGGTTCCGCGCCTTGGGGCCGAATCGAGGTACATCAAGAGGGGAAATCGGAAACGCGCAGCTCACGCCGATTTTTGTTGACCCAGTGCTTCCAATGACCTCAAAACTGGGTTGACGTTGGAAGGGGACAAAAAAAAAAGGCAAGTTTTAGCGGTTGAGTGGGGGGAACCCCCACTAAACCACGATAAGCAAAATTGCAAAATGTTTCCCAACAACCATGTGAAGTAGGTAGCCGCTGGCCTAGCAGTATCTGGAAGCACTGGGTTTAAGACAAACCAAGCCCACTTTTATACAACCAAGGCCTTCCACGAGGGGCTTGCGGTCCCCCATGCGCGCATGCCACTCCCCGAAGTTGTCCTTGGGCACGCTGAAGCCCATCATATTGACCCCCTTTCGGTACCTCGAGCTTCACGGGGGCTTTGGGCGCAGCTAGACTGAGGCTTTGGGAGGGATTTCCTACAAAAACCAGAGATACAGATTTTCTGAGAACCGGCCATAGAAAGGGAACCACTTCACTATTCAAAGGGTCAACACCCTCCCCCCTCCACTTCTGGGGGTAGGGATGTGTGAATTCCAGTGCGCTTTGCATAGGCAAATGCAGAAGTTCATGTGAGTGTTGGTTGTAATTCCCTCAATTAAGGTTGATTTGACATTGTTCAGGCTTCCGCGGACCCTTCCGCATCCTTGCCATGAGCCAACAGGTCCCTTCGGGCTTCCGGGCACATGTTCTCATGCTTCCGCAAACCTTCCCCGGCATGCTTTGCAAGATCGGCTCCGTGAGTCTCGGCGCAGAAAGGAAAGTCGGTTCAAGTACGGAAAGAAAGGCTCCGCCGTTGGCACGTGTTGGGCTGCATTAGGCTGCATTGGGTGCTACGTGGGCGCTTGCCTCACACGGGGCCACGCTTTGGAGCTTCCGCGAATCTTGCGCGGAGCTTCTGCCACCTGTTCTTGTCTTGGTCCTCTTGGCTTGCTGTAGGCAGCTTCTTCTTGTAAGCCTTGTGCTTCTTGTAATGTTGACCCCATGTTTTATCAACCCCTTTTGAATTTCTAGGGGGTGTCCCTGGGTTTAATGGGGAATCCGACCACTTTTGGCAGGGCCTCCACCCCGGTATTCATAAACAGTGGTTGATAAATACGGGGTCAACATCATGCCGCAACACATCTTTGCCTCTACTGCAATCATTGTGCTTTTCCACGCAAACTCACACAGATCACATCAAACCACAAAACTTCCACGCACCTTTTATGAAATGAATGCCTTCCGTGACGCCTTCCGCATGCTTCCACGGGTGTGGCGCGGTGCGCATTTTCAAGAATGTGGCTGGTGATTTCGACCTAATTACAGCATCCGTGAACTGGGACTTGCATTTCACTGCGGAGATGGATCCATCCACCCACCCCAAAAGCCCAACCAATCCTGTGACAGCCCAATGCACCCCGAACCCATCGGATTTTGTCCCATCCAGGCCTTGACTCAGCCGTGGATTTTTGATGGACCACTGCGCATCTTTGGAAAGACCCCGAAAGGAGATGTGTTGACAATTAGGCTTCTTCTGAACGGCTGCATTTTGCTAGCATCTACGCCCATTGTTTCAAGAAAGACCCGTATGTCTCTACCAAGTGCTCAAACACCAAACACCACTAAACACCGATGAAGGTCAAAAGGCCGTCTATCGGCCTTTCGCGCCGTTCCATAGGCCCAAACGTGAACACCTGACCGGGTTTGTTTTTTATATTTGGTATATACATGTGTGTTGGGTTGATTGAAACGGAAACCAAAACCAACCACCACTTTCCAAGACCCACTCTCCAGTGGCCCTGAGAGTTTGGTGTGTTTGCCAGGCATCCCTTGCCCCCCCCCCTTTTTTTGGTTGCGTCGAAGTGCATCTTCCTGAACTGGCCGCTCTCGTCGATGCTCAGTAGGCCGCCCCACCTGAATAGCAACAACTCGTGATGCAAACTGGTCTGGAAAAGTGGGTTGGGGGGAAAACAAAAAGGAAAGGCTAAGAAACAAGTTCGGAGGGTCACAGAAAAAGAGCCCAACTTAATTGATAGCCTCTTTTTGAGTTTACGATTGTTTCAGCCGGCATTAATTTGCCTGGATTCTGCCTAAAGGATCCGGACATGAAAGGTTCACCCTTTGTGACCTTCACTAAAACTGAATCCAAATTGGAACATCAACAGGTCAAATCAAAAGGTCGATTCACAAAAGGGGCAAGTGAGAGATGCTGGCACCCGCATCAAGAGATATAAAAACACCAGCGGCAGAGCCGGGACCATGACCATGCGCCGACCCAAGCTGGGAACTTAGGTTCAAAAACATCGAACGACACCCCCTTGGGAAATCCAGAAGAAACCAGAAGGAAACCTCAAGCAAGCCAAAAAACACCAGGCCTCACATAACAAGAGGAACTCCCACAGTTTCACCTCAAGTACAGCGCAAGCACTGTAGAAGAAGTCATTGTAGAAATTTAGGTTCTGAGCTTGCCAAATCAAGTAGGTTGCAACTGCATTTGGGCAGAAATTGAGCCCCTTGGAATCGCCCAATTTCTTAGCAAACTTGTGCCACAAAGAGAGCATCTTTGACCATCAGGGAAGTGCCCGCTAAGAAATCCAGGGTGATGAGGGGCTTACTTGCTTGAAACGGCCTTGGAGTGGTATCACACCAACCTGAATCCATCATGCATTGGTACAATCCCCAGCGTTGAACAGTGGAGCCGATGGTCGTTAAACAGGGGGCCGGTTTTCGGCCGCGAAAGAAATGGAGTTCCTCTTCAGGAGTGCTTGAGCCCCTTTGCTCGGGTAAAGGAGTCCTTCACCCGAAAGACCCAAAAAATCTGAGCAACTCCTCGCTAAGAAATTGAGCCCCATGCCGCTGAACTTCTCAGCAGACAAGGTTAAGACATTGGCTAAGAAATCAAGCGAGTCCT